ACAGAAAGTTGGTTTTCAATTAAATGAGAAATAAGAAATTTCCTACCAACGAAAAAGATGTTGCAGACAGGGGAAAGAAAGCAAGAAAAAGTAGAGAATTACTTGGGTGATGACACGGTAGGAGATATAGGCTTGGACGCCATTGCCGAGCTTAACCGGATCGGTGACCGACACCGATAGGAAGGGCTGCGAAGACTGAGATCTAGGGCTCTGCATCGACCCGGAGAGACTTGCGTTCTGTTCCGTCAGAAGGGATAATTTTGAGAAAAGGGAAAGATTACATCTGGAAGACATGCAGTGGCAGATGAGTAATTACCGTGGGATTCATGGTCATCTTGGCTGAAGGGGGTCGCAGTGAACTCTTCTCCACTGGGAGAATCAGAACGGGAGGTGTGTAAGTCAGCCGCGGTGGATGACGGAAAACGTTCTGAGTTGAGCGGTGAGTTTGGGCAGACGAGTCAGCGCGAGTTTAACGATCAACAAGATTAGTTATTGCTTGCCGCAACCGCGAAATATCACCGCATTTTTTTCTCCCTTGTTTTATTATTGTTCCGGAAAAAACAACGCCGGGTCTATCACTCGTCAGTTATCACAACGAATGCGTGAGGAGTGAAGGCCGCCGTTTGATGTGTGTTGGAATAACAGGGAGAGTTACAATAAAATCTTAATTAAAAAAATAATTACTAAAAAATCTTAATAATAGCCTAGATAAGCTATAATAACAAATTTCATAATAAAAAATAAAAATTTCTTAGACTTGTTTTATAATTATTTCTAATTCTGACAATACAATTTTTAATAAAAATATTATTATAAAAAAACGTATATACTACCCCGATCCTAATTATAAGAACTAGTTGACTAATCTGAAGAGATTAAGAAAAGAAGTTAAGTTATTTATTTGTAATAAATATGTATTGTCTTTCTTAAAACATCTTTACTAATTAAATGTATTGGTTATAACTACTATTGTTAGAAGGATTATTTTAAGAAAAAAATGCATAAATATAAGAGAAAAAGTGAATTGAGATCTTATATTTAGGACCAAAATAAAAATCAAATAAGGTCTTATATTAAGGATTGGAGATAGTATTTGGTTCAAGGGTCCAGGATATGCACTATTCATTGATTTTATTCATAGTATGAATTCATTGATCCGATTTTATTTTTCAATATATTTAAATACTAAATTCATGCATTTTCAAATATTGTCAATATATAGTATGATGAGTATTAGAAGTTTGTGAATAATGTAACTTATTTTAGATCTTGTCTAATCACGCAAATCTCACTCAAATTCATAGCAAAAGGTATAAACAGATTTGCGTCTAATCGTTAAGGTTTGTTTGCTAATTAGTCTCGGTTAAGGAGTTCGTCTGAAAAAACACTCTTTGAGATTAAAAAAAAAAACATAATAATAAAGAATAAAAAGACGCTGAATAATGCACGAGTAGATTAATTACATTGTCGCTAAATCATACATTATGCATCATGCATATATATTCCAGTAGAATCGTGCCATTTCCTTTTTATTACTCACCAGTATTTAATATAAAACATAATTGTTGAGTTGATTTTAGTTCTAAATATAAAATATATTTTTTATATTTATTATTATTTTTCTAAATTACCGCTATTCATGCTCCTTCAACTACAGAGGATACTAAGAAAAATGATTATGATATTTAAAAATAATAATAATACTACCTCTCATCCAAATTAAAACCAAAAATAGTATCGTGTTTCTTATAATTAACTAACTTATCTAACTTTTTTAATCTAATCAAATTAGTTAAGAAGTATTATATTTTTATTATATTATTGTCACCAAACCCAGTCCCGCAAACTCACTCTCTGCTACTAAACACTGATTTAGCTATTTTTGATTGAAGTGACGGAAGCACCGCGGGGTGGCCATTGTCCAGAATCTACCCACCTTCAGTTATTTACCGAGTTGCCACAATTAACTCATAAAAAGGTTTAAAAAAAAAACAAAGAATGAATTCATAAATTCATGCAGATGGTGTCATTAATTTTATGTCTATCGAATAAAAATATAATAAATACAATAAATTTTATGAATGAAAGTTGACACCATAATTCTTACACGTGGACACATGCTAACAATAAAATCAAGCTAATTAACATCGTAAGGGTATTAGATTTGCATGGAACAGTCCGTTGAACAAGCATTCTCTGATCGTCTATTTAAAAGTTTGTTGAGAATCTGGCTCCGGGAGGGGGAAGAAAAAGGTCGACAAAGAAAAATGTGTTTTATCTAACAGAGGACGAAACCACAAATGAGGCCGCGTTGCAAAATGGCTGTAAAGTAGGTTCAACACGGAAAATGCCATTTATCTGTTTAATCTACCATCAAGCCCCTTCTTTTCCTCTTCACCGTTGTCGATACGGAAATTGATTTTGACATTGTCACCCAAATACGCGTAAATAAGCCAATCGAGTGAATATTGTTACTCACATTTTCAAAAATCTGAACGCTCCGCATAACTTAATATTCAGCCTAAAATCTGCTAGTGTCTCTTTCTTGTTCCGGGGATATATATTGTCTATAAGCGTCTCACCTCTTGTATTCACAGTAGATTATTCGTGTTTGTATTTTTAAATGTTCTCGTAAATTCTAAAGAAATTAAACTTGTCATGCTTTTTTGAATTAACACAATTTTTGGTCCTTCAAATTCACTTTCGTTTTAGTTTTTGTCCATCAAGTTTTAAATTATAGGTTTTGGTTCCTTAAATTTTTTTATTTAAAATATTAGTATCTATAATTCAATAAAAATTTAAATCATTTTACCCCTCAAAAAACTAAAATTTATGGTTTAAAATTTAAAGAACTAGAACTAAAATAAAAACAAATTTAAGGGATCAAAAATTACATTAACCCGTCTTTTTATCGGTGAGCACATTCTTTTAAGCTATCAAAGAAAAAAGCAGGTACATTTTTTCAAAATTGTATCTTGCATGAAACATGTAATGTCTAGACTCGAACGAGTTGGCTCTCCGACTTTCAAGTATGACTTGAATTTGAGGCACTGCATTTTTCTTAATAATTCTGATACTCTATATTTGAATGAAACTGTTATTACTTACTCAGGTGGGGAAAGACGGATCAAGGGATGAAGTACTTAAAATTATTTAGGAGGCAGGTGATTCTTTGTATATTGAGAAGTTGAATCAATCATATTCATTAATTAATTGTGTCCATCTCTTTCATTTATGAACCGTAACTTAGAAGGAAATTTCGTCACTATTTTAAGATTTTTCTCGTATGTCCATTTTTTGTATTATTAATTATCCTTTTTTTTAATTGCGTTCTTTAACATTGATATTTGCACAATAATTTATTATACGATGTAAAACTCCTATTCCATTAATATTACATCGTGTCACGCCCAAAAGAAGAGTGCACTTGAGAAGTTGGGAACTTAATTCCCTACAAAATTTAGGGAGTAATATTCCCGTGGAAGAAAAATTGTACTCCCCTGATTTTTAATATTAAACACATTTAACTAATTTAATTAGATTAAAAAATAAATAAGTTAGTTAATTATAAGAAATATGACATGTTTTTCTTAAAACACTATAATCATCCTATTTAATATCTTCTTTCCTCTTTCTACTTGATTATAATTAAAGAAGTATTAATAAAGATAATTTAAAAAAATTTAATAAATATGAAAAATACTACTTCCGGTCCTAATTATAAGACCTAGTTGACTAATTTGAGGAGGTTAAGGAATGAAGTTGGGTTAGCTATTTGTAATAAATAGGTGTTGTCTTTCCTAAAATATCTTTACTAATCAACTATACTGGTTAGAGCTAAAATTATTAGAAGGACTATTTTGAAAAAAAATACATAAATATAAGAGATAAAGTGGATTGGGTCTTATATTTATGAGCAAAATAAAAGTTAAATAGGGTCTTATATTGAGGACTGGAGGTAGTATGTCTTATATTTTGAACTGATATCAATTTAATAATTAAGTTATATATTAAAAATCGGACGAACTTCTTGAAAGGCTTGAATATGATTACTTGACCGGGCGAGGGAAAAAAACAGTTTTTGAAAAAACAAGGGGGTAAGTTTTTAGTTTTGACTCAGTTAATTTTCCAGTGATCGGTTTTTCTGGAAGCGAGTGCACAGCAAAAGCAGCTGGGACAACGAGGCGTGAATTTTGTAATGCAAAAATACTCGAACAGCACATCAGAAATCTGAAAGGATCCAAACAAATCCATCGCTTAACGGATAGCTACGCCTACAAATCATAACAAAACAACAGAACAAAAATAAATAATATTTAATGTTTCATTAATTCGTTCGCACGGCGGTGAGAAGACGTGGAAGCACCAACGCACCATACCTCGGCTGGCACAAGCAGAGTGGCATGCCCCCAACGACACGTCAGCCCATCCATCCATGATCCTTATCATAAGAAACCCTAATAATTATTTAAAAAGTATGCAAATATTGGGAACAGAAGAAACAAAACCCCATTTATAGGCATATGTGTGCACATAAAGCTTACAAAATTGGTGGTGTTGCTCTGAAACTCCCAAGCCTTAAATTAGTAGTTCAGGCTGGCAGAATCTTACAGTAGCAAATGTTTGCATGGAAGAAATGTGATTCTTAAGGAAACATGAGGAAATTTCATGCGTCTAAGTTTAGTCAGTCACAAAAGATACTCCATATTTTACCGTCCCACGTGGCCAACAAGCGCCAAGTGATTTAACGTATCAACCAGTGAGTGTTTTGCTAAAAATTCAAATGCTATCGTCTGAGGCCACGAATGGGATGATGAAGCCCGCATGCACAGGAAACAACACCCAATGCCTCGGCCACGTCAGGAGTGAGTGCCACCCTATTGTCATCTAATGCGGGGCCCACACCCCCAGCACACCGAAGCATATCTTAATAAATCCCTCGCTTTTAGTCCATACTAGCCACATCTCTCTCTCCCTGTCTCTCTGTCTCTCGTTCTTTCTCCTCTTCACTCCCTCTCTTCTCTTCTCGTCTTTCGGCTCTCTCAATTTTTAAGCCACCCACCCCATATGGACCCCGCTGCATCTCGCCATCGCCGATCGTCTTCCTCCTCCGACCGTTTACTAGGAATTTTCACTTTCTCTCCACCCTCTTTCGCCAGCGCTGGCGACGAACTTAACGAAGCTGAGCTTTTTTGGTCGGGCGATGTCCCTGAAACAGAGAATCGACTCCTTCATCAGCCCCCTGCGCCTGCTCAAAACAACCAGCCCAGCCTCCCTTGCCCCCAGAACTCTGGCATCCTCGCCGTGCTATCGGAGCCCGCTTTCCGTTCCGGCGATCAGCCCATTTTGTGTCGAAAGCCCACTATCCCGTCGACGTCTTCGAGGATGGTTCCCTCGATACCCAGACCGCCGGGCCAGAACCCTCCAGACAGGGAATACTACTCGCAGTCCCTGCCGTCCAGGAAATTTCAGCAATCGGCTCCCGTGAAAGTTCCGATTCTGTCGTCTAAAACCATGCCCAGGAGGAGGAACGACGAGCTGGCTTTAGTGGACGACGATATTGAAGACGATGATGAGATGTTGCCGCCCCACGAAATCGTTGCGAGGGGTTCTGGGGTGTCGCCGAAGACCACTTCTTCGGTGCTGGAAGGGATCGGAAGGACCCTCAAAGGGAGGGATCTCAGACAGGTGCGGAATGCTATATGGCGCAAAACAGGTTTTCTTGATTGATTTGTGGTGTTGGTTATCTTAAAACCAAGAACAATTCTTGTAGAGCAAGTTCAATTTTGATCGATTCACCAAGGATGGTGACTTGGATGAGTATGTTTTAGCCTCCCCAGTTAACTTGGTGTTTGAGATTTGAAAGGGTGTTCTATCATTGGGAATGCTAGTTGACCTTTTTCAGATTATTTACAATTACGATTACAATTAGAATCCTGGGATCAAGTTATTGATAACTTTTCAACCCGCTGCTACTATTTTAATTTTAATCGTACTTAATTCTCATTCTCAACCCTGAAACACGTGAACTCTGTTTTTGCCCTGTTCCTGTGGGGCTCAATATTCTTCATTCGTTGGAGATTGAATTCTCTCATTTGTCACTTTGCTATTGCCAGAGATTCGGATTTAATCCTTATAAGGCTGAGCTACAAGCTTGTTGATTTCTCGATTGCTTCAGTTAGTACATTGTCAGCATGATGAAAAACGAGAGACGAAATGAAGCTGGTTGGTGACTTGGTAAGTAACTGCTTTTAATTTCCTTTACAAGAGTTGGACAATAATTAAATAATAAAACATGAGAGTAGGTAACATTGGTGTCCGTTTTCGTGTTGCTGCTGTGTGTTTGATTATGAAGACGGGGACACAAAGTATTATACTACCTCCGGACCTAATTATAAAACCGCAGTTGTCTAATTTGAAAAAATTAAAGAACTTAGTTAAGTTAGTTATTTGTAATAAATATGTATTGTTTTTTTTAGAATATCATTACTAATCAAGTTTATTGACTAAACTTACCATTATTAGAAGGACTATCTTAGGAAAAAATACATAAATATGAAAAACAAAGTGAATTGGGATCCTATAATTAGGATTAAAATAAAAATCAAATGAGGTCTTATATTAAGGATCGGAGGTAGTATTATCAATATATTGATGATAATCATCCCACTGATTATATTTCTTTTCGAAGTGCTGGTGTTCGGGATCCACTTCATGGCACTCATGTGGTGTTGTTAATAACTATTAAATCACGTTCCTACCAACAAAAGTTTTAGTATATCTTTGGTTGGTTCAATCATTCAGGACACCAGGCATATCCTTATTGGGGATATATATATATATATATATATATATATTTTAAGTCATGGGGCGAATAAAGTTTACAGGGAGGGCCAAAAGATATCGCGAGATTATAGCTCGGTGGCAAGAGGAGGACGTCATTGGCCGACAATGACAGACCTTACAAATAAATAACCTTAGAATCTCGTACACTAACATACCATCAGCCGATGAATACATAAATGATTAAGAGGTTAGCTTTGCCGTTTCCTGCAATGGTTCTTTCTTTCCATCCCTTTCCTCCTAAATTAAATTGATTGGTCCATGGCCGCAATTAAAATGTTGGGTGAGCAAGATTCACGGTGAAGTTGCATGTTCAACAGTAGACAATGCGTTCAGTAGCCGTTTTCGTTTTACACTCAGAGGGGGAAAAAAACAGGACAACAGTGCCATTCAGCTCTAGCCGTATTCCATTGGAAGATCTGGGAAAGGCCTTCTGGCGAATCTGGGCAAGGGTCGTTATTGACAAAATTTATGATAAGAGAAGTAACATGGTAAGGTAGGGATTATCACTTCGAGCTTCGAAGAGACGTCACTGGGACTAAAACTTGAAAGAACATGCTTGAACAAGAGAAATTTTAGTAGAAAAGGTCGAGTGCCGCTAGGTACCGCCCAATGTTGAAGCTCGCAAACTCTTACGAAAATCGTCGTTTGGAAAAAAAAAAAAAAACCGGAGTATCTCCAAGCTAGGAAACAGAATATCAGCAAGTCAGGGATATTAAAATGCCTCAATTGTTGAGCTCAGAAAGAAATTCCCTTTCACGCATCTAACTGGTTCATCATCCTTGCGGAATCCCCAAAAAAAAACGCAAGACAAAGAAATGGTGGATCTGGTTCCCACCTGATATGGGGACATTCATAGAAACACGGAAGGAACTGAACTCCCATTTATCGAATCTACATATCCGGCAATTTGGCTTCGAGCCATTCAAGCCTAGAGATCAGTAAGCAGGAAATAGGTCACAGACCCTTTCAAAGGAAAAGGACATAAGCCTCCAAAGAATGAATCAGGTGAGCGAAAGGAGGATCCGGAAGGAAAGCCCTGAAGGGTACAGAGAGACTTTCAAAATGACAAGGAAGGCAATCTTAAGAGCTGTCCCTCTGTGGTGTCCCTTCCGAAGATAAATTCATAAGTAAATTCATAAAATGAAATAAGAAAGCTGAAGAATATAATATTTTAAATTAAGTACTTAGAGTTGAAAATGATGAAAAAAAAAAAGTAATATCTGATTTAGTATTTTATAAATATAATTAAAAAATTAAAATGTTCTTATATCAAAAAGTTTATTAGCAAATTTTGAATTGATAATGATAAGTATCGAATAACAAATGATAAGAAATATACTATTAATGACAATAATTGGTACTGAACAAGAATTATATAGGTAATAACAAGTTTGATATCTTTTTTATTTTTCAAAAATGATACAAAGATATTTTAATCATTTAACTACATTTATAAAATACCATATCAAACATTACTTTTTTTGTCATTTTCAACTCTCTTAGGTGTCTAAATTAGGAAATGATAATTTCAAGGTTTTTCGTCTGAAATTTTCTCTAAATATACTCTTCTGGTCCTAGTTATAAAGTAGAGATATAAGATTTTTTTTCCTATTTATAAGGCACTGAAATAAATTTTTTGTATAGAAGTATAATTTTATTCTTTATTTATTATTATGATGACTTTATTTATATGAGGTATAATATATATATATTAAATAGGAATAAAGCTGAAAATTTTTGAATTTTAAATAAAATTTAATAAAATTTAATTTTTTTTTTAGTTCATATGAAATATGTTGAAAATAATTTAAAAATATGATCAAGAAGTACTAGAAAGACGTGATTATCCCGAGTCACCGCCCTTGTGGTTGTGGGCTCTAAGATGGGCTTCAATATTGCTTTTGGGTCCAATGCTGGGCTGTCTAGCTGTCCCGAAGATGCAATAAACCATGAAAAATGCTGCTAAATGTGCAATTTGCTCTAAAGCTAATGTATCTTTTTTCTTTTTATTTGGACTCAAAAGCTAATGTATCTGTTGATGCCGATTTTCTGGTAAAAAAAATAATCAATTGATTGATTTTTTTTACCTCATATTCTGATTAATTATAATTAAAAATTTGATAAATGGTGTTAGTCTTCCTGTCTTAAATATAAGATCTGTTTACAAGATGAGTTTTATATTTAAAATCCGAAGAATATTTTTTTAATTTGGAAAGAAAAATTATCAATTTTAGCCTTTGAAATATGTACATCGTTATGATGGTTTTAGTGTCTCAAAAAATTAAACACAAGATTTAAATCTCAACATAAAATTAAATTCAGTGGTCATAGATTGATAAGAACTAAATCAATCTCATTGAAACCTTTTAAGAACCAGTAAAGTATGCGATTCCCTTCACTTGATGTGAGGATTGATTTTAAAAAATTAATATTATTTCCACTATACATAATTTATAAGAAAAATAATAACATATTTGAATAATATAATCTAATGATTTTTATCTAATTCAATGGTATTTCGTATTCAAGTTAATTCCATTTCAATTTGGTTATGATGAGGTCTGATTTTTAAATAAATAAATATTTAATAATCTGTTTTTATTGGTTAGCAGCACTAATATCTAGTTTATGTATTAAATTTCATCATGTGATTTGAAAGTTAACGATATATTTCTTCTAAGGGATATATAATATTATTTCTTCCGCATGTCATCCGATTTAATTGCCATGTGTAAGGATAGTCTTTGATTCTTTATTGTATTTCATAAAATATCTAAATAAATTGCGTCTTTTCTTTTGGAATAAGACAAAATGGTATTAAGAAAGCAATAGTTTTCTTCAGAGAAAATTGATGTACAAAGAGAATTACTAGAAAAACTAATAAGAAAAGCATTTAAAGGATCAACTTTCATATAAGTAAGTGAAAATACAAGGATCAAAGACAGTATGGCTTACCAACCAAGGTGCGTTGAACGAGCGTGAAGATGAAGGGTATGTTTGGATCTCCGTTTTGAGATCCAAACGTGCCTTGGAAATTGTAATAAGCCAGTTAGGGGCGTTCTGAGCTAAACTGATTGTTTGGATAGGTAACTTTTCAACCAGACTTCTGAAAAAAAGCTCCTTATTTCTCAACGCTCCCAGAAGCAACTTTTCCACCGTTTCAAATGCATATTACCGTTAAATTAATGAATATTAATTTCTCTCACCTATCTACCGAACCTAGGTGCCTCTCTCAAAGCTTCACCATTCCAACCTCAGAGCTCTACCGGACCCAACGCAAAACACTCTGATCCCTCACTCTCGGCACTCGCCTATCTCTACCCGACGGAGCTGAGAAGGCGTGCGTAGCATTCGGCCGTGTTTCAACTCCCTCACTCTCGGCACTCTCTCTTCGGTGCTCTTGCCAATGTCTCCGTCCATCGGTCTCGGCTGCGTCTCCATCCGTCGGTCTCTCTGGCGCCTCTGTCGGTGGGTGTCGACGGCTCTGCTCCCTGGGTATGGCTGCGTCTCCATCCGTCGCTCTCTCTGCCGTCTCTGTCTGATTCCCGTGTCAACGGCTCTGCTCCCCCTCCATCAAAACAGATCTGGGTGTGGCTGCGTCTCCATCCGTCGCTCTCTCTGCCGTCTCTGTCCGTGGGTGTCGACAGCTTTGCTCCCTCCTCCGCTGAAGGTTGTTCGTGCCATCGCTGGTGTGTTTTTCTTCTCTTCCCTGTTCGACTCTCAGCTCCCTCCACCGCTGAAGGCTTTGTTTTTTCTTCCTTCTCTGATTGTTGATTGTAGATGCTATTTGAATATGTGCACTCCGGGCTGTTACTCCTTCTTCGTGCTGAATCGGTTTGTGTGTGCATATGTGTGAATGTGAACTGAATGGCTGTAATTAATGGTATATGGTGTTGGTTTATGGTGCAAGATTTATGGACGTGTGAATGCCGTTTTGACCGAAGCATATGGGTTTTTTCGCTCCTCTTTTTGTTGATCGGAGAATTTCATTTTGTTGACCGAAGCATATCAGTGATGGGAAGATGGGGACGAATGTGAAATGAATGTGAAATGAATGAATGAATTAAAGTGAGTTAAGGGTAGATGGGGACGAATGAATGTGTGAAGGAAGGGGGGAAAAGAAATTATACATTTGTTGAAATTGCCTTGGTTGTCTGCATTGAACAATAGTTTGGCTTGAATTTTGTTAAATATTATATTATACTGCGTGGTTGGAATTTTTGAGTTAAAGGAAAAGAGTATTTTTGGTGCTATGGGCTTCATGTATCATGATTGAGAATGGGTGGTGTAATTGTGTGCTGAATCCAAATATCGATAAGTTCCTATTTTTTTGTATGTTTGTAACGTAAGGCAGAGCTTGAATTAATTCACTTTTTGTGATTTGATTTACATATATTGTGGGTCTATATTGTTTGATTATACTGCTTGATTCTTGACTAATTGTGAGTTTGATATATATGTAATTTCAACAAGAACTATGAGTAACGATAAAGGCAAAGCACCTTGGGATGTGAGCACCACAGGTGTGTTTCTGAAAATATGTGTTGATCAGATTTATAACAAGCTTCGTCAAGGATCTTCATTTACCAAAACCAGGTTGGGACAATATTCATAGAGAATTCAATGAAAAGACAGGGAGAGGATATGAAAAAAAACAGCTGAAAAATAGATTAGATAATTTGAGGAAAGAGTGAAAGACATTTGATAAACTAATTGCTAAGGAGACCGGCAGAGGGTGGGACCCTGAAAGGAACACGGTAGTGGCATCTGATGAGTGGTGGGAGAGGGAATTACAGGTATGAAGTAGCTTATGTTAATTTATAAGTAGTATTATACTTTTGGAATCAATTTAACTATAGTTTACTTTTGACTTTGCAGGAAAATCCAGCATATGAAAAGTTTAGGCACTATGGGTTAAGGTTTCGCACTGAATTGGAAACTATATTCAAGGACACTATGGCATCAGGAGATGATATGTGGGCACCATCTTGGACCGAGCCTGCACCACAGAGGGGTGATCAGCCAAATGACTACCAACCAACAATGGATTGGCAAGAAGGTTCAGGGGATAGTGAAGAAGACATTGGACGCTGTGCAGGAGTTTCGGACTTTTTGGACAGCATCAATTTAACTGCAAACACATCGAACACTGCACCCACTGTACCTAGTGCTTCAGGGAGTCAAGGGAAGAGGAAGAGAGGTGAAGGGTTGGACAAGTACAAGAAGCAAAAGATACCAGCGACAAGAAGAATAGCAGATTCAGTAAGTTCGATTGAGAAGGCTTCAATTAGTACAGCAAAGGCAATAAACAAAATCCGCAACAGTGATAACACTACTGAGCTTACTGTTGATCTACTGAGTATGCCTGAAATAGTCAGTGACTTACAACTTTGTGTGACATGTTGTAATCTGCTGGCTAACAAGACATTCAGGGACATATATGCTGGTCTGAGAGAAAATCGGGAGGTATTAGTAGCTTGGTTGAAGCACAATGCTGCGAACCCCCCGCCATATGCTGCACCGAAGAATCCTTGAGTTGTGCCTAGTGACTTGTTATGATTTCTGTTTATCTATCATAATGTATTTGGTTAGTATGTGTCATGACTATGTGTTTAATGGTTGTGTGTTTAATGACTCTGTGTAATGTTGTGTGTTTTATGACTATGTTTAATGTTGTGTTTCATGACTATGTATAATTATTATGTTATAGTTTAATAGCTATTTATCACTTATCTTCTCTCTCTCTCTCTCTCTCTTTTGTGAAAATGTTACTCACATTTAGTATTTA